TTTTTGCGAAAAAGACGTCCTTCGACTGTCGAGGACGAGAATTTCTTAAGGTCGAAGACTTATAGATCAGCTTCTTGTTACTAGCGCCCTTTGCTCCTAGTAGCGTGGCACTTGTCGCTACTAGCGTGGCACTTGTTCCTAGTAGCTTTCTTGTTACTACTAGTAAGGCACTTGTTCCTAGTAGCGATGCACTTGCTCCTAGTAGTACGGCCAGCCCCTAGTAGCTTCTTGCTAGTAGCGATGCTTCTATGGGTGCTCTGGCATACTAGCGATGGCCTCCACCAACGAGGTGTAAGCCTCACTGAAGCGTGAAGAACTACTGAAGCCTCACTGTTTTGCTCTCGGCTGCGCATGTTCCGACAGAAAAAGAACTGAAAAGCAGCAAATGAGAAATCAAGGAGGAGGAAGACGAAGAGAAGATGAAGAGAAGACTGAGAAGACAGAGAAGATGAAAAGGAGTCTTTGGTTTTCATCTCTTTTCCCTCCAAGTCTTTTCGCAAGACAATGAAACTGTGTCTTACCTTGAAGCGAGTCTGCATGTCAAGGTATGTTCATGATTTCAGAGACATAGATGCGGAGGTTACACATCGAAGTCAGCTTGATGTTGTATGAACTTCGTGAAGCACTGCGTGTTGTCGAACTACCCGTGTCGAGACAACTCGAATACAACTCCGGAGGCTACACACGGTGCTCCCCGCGGCGCTCCGCACGGCACTGCATGGACTGCAGCGTCCTTGCTCCTAGAAGTAAGGCCAGGAGCCCCTACTAGCGGTCTGTTTAGATGCATTTCAGATGCATCCAAGTGCATCCCGATGCGTCTAGTCAAAGCCCTGTGGCTTTTGTCCACCTGTTGAAAGGCCAAACATACCTGTAAGCAGTAACTAACTAGAGGCGGATGCAACACACGTACCAACAAACCCGTGCCTGTCACAAGCTGCGCAAGCAGAAGCTGAAGCTAAAGCGGCCAAAGGTCGCTGGTGCTTCGTGGCCGTGGCGACAGGGCCTTCTAGACACCTTGCCGGTCTCCAACCTAGTAGCGGCCTCCAAGCTGATAGCAAACTTCATTAGACCTCTATTCCTCTTCTTGGTATTTGTTTCTAAGAGCGATGGCCTCCACCCTAAGAGCATCCAGAAACGTGAAGTGCGAAGAAGCCACTAGGGCACAACTCAGAGAAGACTTGGCATCGACACCAGACACTCACAACACTTACAGCACTCAGCACATTCCGGGTTCGCTTTGCAAAACCGCTCTTCGCACCGCTTCGCCGCTAAGCTGGCAGAGAAAACTGCCAGGGTTTGCTTCGAGCAAAACTTGAAAATGAGGACGTTCTGGCAAAAGCATCAGCTTCATTCTCGGACCTCGACCTTCCGACTGATGCGGTACGTCATGTGCGGTGCGTCAGGCGGTTGTAGTCGCTTTCACGCAAAGGTGTCCTTGTGACACGGTCGGCGTGCATCTGCATATATAATAGCAACACCACAACTTCAAAACAGGTGCAGGCCGTGCAGGCCGTGCAGGCCGTGCAGGCCGTGCAGGCCGCGATGCACGTTGAAAATGTAGCGTTGACATTCCGAAGTGCACCTATGAAGTTTGGCATGTGCAAGCCTTAGAAACCCTCAACATCTGCTGTCTGCCTCTCTGTACTTGCAGGCATTCAATTGCTCCAATCTTCAAGATCTTCAAGTAGACAAACTCATGTTGTTTGAACAATTTGAATGGGCCTTTATCATGGTTCTCGTGAAAGACTGCAATTGAGGGGACCGGAGGATCCTCAAAAGCCGTTGGAATGTCAAAAGAGGAAAATGGGAGTCTGGCCTGCAATTGGCGTAGCTGGTATGACCTAGAAGCGATGGCCTCCAACCTAGTAGCTTCTTGCTACGCCTCCAACCTAATAGCGATGGCCTCCACCCTGGTGTTTTTTCAAGTAGATTTCCTCTTGGGCCGCAGTTGGGCTGTTGGGCTGCAGTTTTATGGTTGCCCTGCACTGAAGGTTGGGCACGGCTGGCGCAGGCGCAGGTTCCTTCGATTCGCATCAAAAAGACCCGCCTTTCGGTGCATTCCACCCCTTTAGGTAGACAGTATATGACAAAATAGGTAGACGGCAAACAATCCAAGGACAATGGTGACCTTCAAAAATGATGGAGCGATGCTGGCATGCTGGGATTTGTCTGGGCAGGTATTGCGCGTGAGGGCAAGTGAGTCTGACCTGGTGGATACGCACAAGCGCGTTGCCAGTGACTTGCAGGTCGGCCTTCCTCTTCGATTCGTCGTGAACGGACAGCTGTTGGGCTCGAGCAAGGCAATTCCTTTCGCCACCACGGATTTGGGTTGACAGCAAGTGAACTTGTCTACAAATCCCCTGTGGAGTGTGACAGAGTCTCCGTGCACCTGGCCAAGGCCATTGTCGTTGAGTGTAAGAGGTGGGGACATGAATATCACCAAACCACTGAACACGTGGTGGAATCGCAAGAGTTTACCGAGTAGAGAGAAAC